ATAAACACGTGTTAAATCAAAAATTAATGATTTATATAAAATATTAATAATTTAGTACCGCAGGGAAGCGTTGATAAAATTGGAGATAAAATTATTATTCGTTTCAACGGGGAATATGTTAAATAGAAAAAGAAATGGCGCCCGGGCGGTAATCGAGGAGTCGTGCGCCGAACCGGCGCTGCATAGAAAATTAATAATTAAAACCTTTGTCACGAAGAAGGACATGAATTAGGGATCGAAACGTTTATTGAATAGAAAAACAGAGGGGCCGGGGAACGGATCGATGAAAGGAGAATCGTGCACGGCCGATTCTATTCACGCGATGTACGCGCGGGGATACAAGGTTAGAAGAGATAAGCATCATCGGATTAATTATGCGTAATGCGTCGGACGTGTGCACCGCGTGCATGCGCGCGCGCTAGCGTTTCGACGTGCAACGAAGGACCGCGCTTGCTCTCCGTTGCCGGCTAACGCATTCAATTATCATTGTTACTCCGGGAGTTTACAGATGTTTCCGCGATAATCACGGTGCCGCGCGATTGCACGTTTATCCTGCCGGTCCGTATTAACCGCCATTGAATGGCAACGGTAACGAGAGAGTAGCCGGTGCACGCCACTCCGGATGATGCAACGCTGCGACGGAAACAAAGCAGGGAAGAGTGTACCCGACGGATCGGCCACGCGACTTAATTAGGCTCGTTGGAAAAATTCATGCGGTCCTGGCTGCGATACGACCGTTGGCACCGATCCAGATATCTCGTTGCTCGCTTCGAACGATCTTCGGATCCTCCGATGCGAATTACCGTTGCTCGAGAGAATCATCATCTCCTCGAGAGCGGACATTTTTAACCAAGGACGACGTTAGGCAAAGGATATTTAGAAATGAGTTTACTCGATTTTATTTCACTTCATTTTTTACTTTATTTAAACATGCAATATATATTTTACACGAGTGTCTTTGATTGAATCTTTGTATAAAGACACTAAATTTGTTTAAACAAATGCTATAATGTAGTATAATACGAATCTATTGTTTCAACAATGTGCTCTACCTACATACTTTAATAAAAGTTTTATGAAATGTAATACAGTGATGATTCTTAAGTTGAACGTTACTCTGGAATTGGCACGTTCATCTTTCGTACAGTGTGGAAAATATTTGACACCGGCAGATTTAGATGTTCTTTTTCACACTTTGCTGACTACAAGTATGAAATGTTCAATTTACGAATCACGTGTTTATTTTGAGAATCATTACTGTATTGTCTGCTGACCACATGGTAGGTTGTTTTGATGCGGATGTACATTGAATATAGAACAAGCCTCTACTGGTAATCTGAAAAATTGGTTAAAATTAAAATACGTACTGGATTATGAAAATAAGGTAGTCTATTAATTGCTACGAGAATCTCATCCTCTTTCTTAATGTCGTATTTGAGATTTTGAGTAAGTTATACGTTAACTCTCTATTATTCAAACTATAGCAATGATTCTTAAAATGAGCCCAACACATAATTTATAAGTTGAACATTTCTTTCTCTCACAACTGAAAGATAATTAAAAGACGATACCTGTATAAATATGTGTCGGTGTTAAAATTCGTCTCATGTTCATTTTAAGAATCATTATGTATATTTATTTTCTAAATAAAATTATATGATAGAATCATTGATAAACGCTAATGATGGGATGTATATTAAGAAGCGCATTTTAGTTGGCGCATTTGTCGGCTTCAAAGGCTATTTATTTCATGTTTCAACTTATACACGAGTCATCTTCGAGCCAATCGTGAATCACGAAATTTAAAACGCGGGATTAAGATTATAATTAGCGACGAGGGCAGTGAAATAATAAAACACTGTAAACATTTTACGCGTAAACACTATAAAGAATCTATTCGGTGGAACGGTAATAGAGTGAAGACTAAACAATAGGAGCCTAACGAGCGAAGTGAAAACAAAGCAAGCCTTACGACAAAGCTTCAATTCATCACCCCCATAGTGAATGACCATGCACAACAAAGCTGTAAAAGACAATACGAACTATGGGTTCCCTGTAATGCTACACGCCGATGATTAAGTATTGCAAGAATTCAAAGACGATGTCCAATATTTTCTGTGCAACGATTACAGTTATAAAATATCCAGCTACGAACCCTTCTCGTCGAGATTGGTTGTCAAAGAGAGTAATTTGCGAGGCTGTGTATGGTTTTGAAATTTTTCTTGAATTTAAAACTCCTCTAACAACCGATCATGCCACAGCAAATCTGCGGGAGACAATACGAGCTATGAATTCTCTATAATGCTATGCGTTGATTATCGAACGTAGAACAACGATTATTCGAACACAAAACAAAACGTATCTATAGAATTGCAAGCTCTACACCAACACTGTTTATAGTTTGAAACTTGTGTCTATCGCACGTAAACAATTTTACTAGCTAATAGGATACATAGTACCTGTGATTCATGTGTCCTAGTTTAGTTCTAGCAACTATTAGACATAAACACATAGTTAAAATTATACGTTTCGCATAAAGCATGAATAACGGATGGAAAAGTAAGTTGCTGGAATAGGAATAAAAGTCAAGTATTATTGAACGTTTATAATGGGGTGACAGAGTTTCTAGCTTAACTACGGAATGCAATGTTGGAAAATCTATGATTTTCAGAATTAAAGATAACGATGCGATACTTGTAGAATTTTTGTATGTGTCGTATTTCAAGACAATAATCTATTCAAACTGTAAAACTTGTATGCATTATAAATTGGGTGGTAGAGTAAGATTATTGCAAGTTGTTTGATTTTTGTAATTTTTGATGAAATTGGAAGTGAAATTTGAAAAGAAATAAATTTGGAAAGGGTAAATAAATTTCTGTGATGTTATAAAAATATGCATTACAGCAAATTTGTAATTATAAGACGAATACAGTTTTGGGAGCTCTGCGTTCAATTTTGTCTCTTTCTCGGAGACTGTGCAAGAGCATAATATTTTCTAGAAAGAAAAAATGGAAGCATAACTAACGGGCCGTCGAACGGAAATAAATAGTTGGGGGTTTCTGCTAGGTTTCCAGTTGCACGGTCCACGAGCAACGCGCAGGGGGGAAACACGGTATTGGCGTTGCCGCGCTCTATTTCCGTCCCTCTGTTTTTCGGAGCCCTTTTTCTCTTTGCTGGCGCCCCGTTTCGCTTTCTATATTCTTTCTCCATTCCTCTGCCGGCGGCACGAATGTTTTCATTCGACGGCGTCCCATTGTACGGCGCCCGCCAAATGCCGAAACGCTGATGCGAAAACTGTTTTCCTTTTTTGCCTTCGTTAACCCACATTCACAATACGCGTTTGCGTTCAGTTTGGTTCGCGTCTCGTTCGTCCGAACCACCCTCCCTCCCCTACCGCGAGCCCTTTTCCACTCGTTTACTTTGTCCGGTTCCCGTGAATTAAGCTGATTTATAGTGTTTACCGACAATAGATCGCAATTCTCTTTTTTCTACGTGCGGCGGATTTCGCGGCTGTGTCGCTGTGCTTCGGCGCGGGGGGAGAAAAATCGAGACGTTGATGGAACACGTGAAATTTGTCGTTCGCGGGGGCGGGTTACACGCGAAGAGGCGGAACGGGTCCGTTTCACCCTTGAAATAAAAAAAAAGATCCACGAGTCGTCATCGTCGCGAATTTCAACGGCGACGATGGGAGCAGGTGCGCCACTTGGATTAGGCGCGAAATCGCGCGGATAACATGTTTTCCTTCGGTAATGCCGCTCGACAAAGGGATTTCGTGAGGACGCGACTGACATTGAGTTTAAATCTCGGGGAAAAAAGCGCGCAGAATGTCGGACGCGCGTAAACACGCGGGAAAACGGAGGGCTGGGGGTGAATGGCGCGATGATCCGATGGGCGAGGGAATTTAGGAAGGGCTTTGTAAATTTATTCCGTTTTTACAGTGTTAAGAACGCCGGGGGATCGTAATAAGTAACAAATATTATGCGAGTCACTTTCCCTGACGATTACAAATATTTTTAACGCCTGGACTTTGCTAATACTTTGCGTGAATAATGTTTTCATTTTTCTAAACTTTGTCATGTTGCCTTAAATTTATTTTCGTTTCATTTAGAGTGCGAGAAAATCGCGTTGTTGTATATATTGGAATAATTTTTGTGAATGTAATGTGTATATACAGTTACTCTCGTATTCGTACACTGTAATAGTGATCCACTATGAATGAAAAATAACTTGTTCCATATGAGTCGTTTTTGCAACTGGTATAAATCCATTTTTTTCGTACATTAACATATTTAAGGGATTAAATTAGAAAGAAAACTTGTCAACGATCATGCCACATTGTTGGCTTGTTTATATTATACTTCTCTATTGGTTTTGTAATTGGCCATTAATATTAAAAAAAAGAATAAAATGGCTTCGTAAATAAAGTATCACAGTGTAATAACAACAATATTTGGTAAAAGTAAATGGAAATAATTCATAATGAACAAGTTTCTTTTCATTTATAGTGAATCACTATTCACTTTCACTATCACTTTAACAAAAGGCTATATGGTTCCTAGTAATTAAAGAAATAATAAACGTAGAATTCATAAAATATTTGTAACATTCAAAGCATCATACAAAAATAAAATTCCTGCAACTGGATAAAATGATAATATCTAATCACTATACGGACGAATTTTGATAGATGCTTTGCTTAAAATTCCTGGACTATTTACGCCTATAATTACGGGGTACGTTTATTATAAATACGAATCTAGGACCCTGCCAGGTTTTATTAAAATCGGCGAGGGTCAGGTCCTGGGCCTCTGTCGTGATATATCGAGGGATCGTTTCTCGTTCCGTGGCTGTAACGAATCGAGGAACGCGGTTACTGCGGAAAAGTATTCGGCCAGTAATCAGGAAACACGATCAAAAAATTCTTAGGTTAGTCGCGGCGTGTGTGCCGTTCGCAGTAGTAATTACTCTCACCCCTAACGATGCGGTTGTTTTGTTTCCAGGCGTAGTCGGAGCTCGGAACTTCACGATGGAGTGCCGCAAGGGTCGACGGAAAGGTCTACTCAGTGGCCTGGTGTTTGCGTGGCTCCTAACCAGCGGTTGGACCGTCGCGGCGCGAAATATAGGTAAGTGAGAAAGTATTTACGATAGCAGCGTGAGCTCGATTCCTGCGAGCAACCTGTCCGCGGGCCTCGGTTCTGTCCTTGTGCCAATTAAGCCTCCCAGGCGACACCGTGCAAGGACTACGCGCGAATATTTACGCGCTGCACGACGCCCGGCTTGTTCCGAGTCGACGAAAAATTATTCCTCCACGGTCGAACGCGAATTCTCAGTACGACCACGGAATGGTATTTTGGAACGGAGTCGAACGGTGCTCGTGTTCGGTGATTCCGTCTTGTGCGCTTTCTTTTCGCCGCTCGAAAGTAATTGCCAACACGCGGCGTACCCCCCTCAAAAAATATCGCGCGTTTTAGAGCCTTCGTTTGTCGCGGCGACGAGCAAAACCGAACACCTGGAATTTTAACGCGGACGATGATTTATTCGACGTCCTAGCGGTATCGATCTCTGGACATTTTTTGTTCAAGCGGGACCATATTGCTTATTTTTGGGCAGCCCGGGTCGTTGCGTGGCTCCAATTTGTTTCTTGATCGATTACAGTGAGATACTCGAAAATGGATGTTATCTGCGTTAGGCTTGCATTGCAGGAGAAAGTGAAAAATACAGAAAAATGTTCAATGTTCATTTATTCTACAGATTTAAAAATCAAAGTATATATGTAGCTTTTTTTAAAATAGTGAAGGCTAAAATTAATTATCTATCTGTTCTTTTGTATCGTGTTGTTTAATTGATTCGCATCGTTTTAGTGCGTTCAACATCTGGTCCCTTATAATATGCTTTCTTCCTTGTTTTTAAATTTCGTTTTTCACTTTTTCGAGGAACATGAACATTTTAATGATTAGGCTTGCAATCGCTGCAATGCGAACATTAGCGAGAGATTACAGTGTTAGGCAGCTGAGATATTCAACTGAGGGTTTAACAAAGTTAAATTCCAGTCTTTGTTTTGACACTACACATCGATTGACTGCTCAATCTCTTTTTCCTATCCGAATTCGAATAGTAGATTATCAGCACCAGTAGACTCACAGCTTTGAACGTTTATTTAGGGACACCACAGAGCCCTGCATTAATAAGAACCGAGTTTAATCCTATATGAGATCCTGTATTAGAACCCAATAAAAACATTCTCTGTGCACTGAGAAAACTTTATGGGATTTACTTGATATGTTTTCTCATGGAGACACCTAATAGCTCTGCAGGTATAGCCTATTACAAATACCAGTATAATTCCTGTTATAAAAGGAAAAGGAAAGTTTACGCAATTGGAGGATCAAATTAAGTTTCTCGAGCAGTCATTTGCATCGAGTTTGTCAATTGTTAGCCCAATGAAAATTTGTGCAGAGTTTCAACGTTCGACGTTTTCTCGCGAGTTTAAGTAAAGATCCTCGATTCTCGCCACTTATGGGTTCTATGGGGGTGGGTTTTCCGTAGAGGAGTGTTTGACCTTCGGAAGGGAGAAACGCGGATCGACGAGCTGCATAACCGACGAGGCGTAACCGCAGTTCGGCGGCCGTGCTTACGGGTTGACCGTTGAAACATTTATCGGAAGGCAAACATTCAGTGTGTTTAATAACGAGAATGGAAGTAGCCTAGCGTGTGTACACTGCCCCGTGGATTGTACTATCGCGGTGAAGATCGTCCCTTCGGCCACTCGAGAGCCCCTCATGGACGAGAACTGGTCCGAGCTTAGGAGGCCGATTGTGTACGCAGACCCAGCTCGAGAATTAACTCATTCTTCACGCTAATTGATTTAGGAGAAGCCGCGCGTGAAGTGATATTGTTGCGGGAAGAATCGACGGCGGACTGTTTGTCCACCGGTGCACGGTGTAATTAGTGGCCAAACAGACATCATGGGGGTCGTGACCGGTGGTCAAATATTTGGAAAAATGTACTCTATGGTTGTACACCGTCGGTGGAAAGTTGGAAATTTTGCTGCAGAGATGTAGGTTCGGTCAAGTCTTTATAGATAACGATTTTTTTATTCATGGTACTTACAAAACTTATGGTTTTAAAAAAATTTTTAAATTATGCTGCATAAAGCTATTATGTGTTCCATTGTCGTTACTACATTAATAACAACAGTGTAGTGGTGAATATTACACTTTACATTAAATGGACCCACAATCGCGCGGTCGATCGGGTATACGCAATCGTGTAAGTCTTTTATCGCCTCGATCAAACTTTGGTGCGACTGGTATGTATATGTTCCTGTTCTAACTGATAATTCTTTAACACGTTGACGCATTATCCATATATAGCTGACAGAACTATTAATCTTATAGCACCATCGATTAAACCACTTAATCTAATAGCTACGTAGGTTCCAACCACTTATTGTTTGGCCGAAGTGTTAATTAATTCATGGGAAAAATTTTCACGAACAAACTAAAAAAATTCTTCAAATAAAATGTTAAGGAAAATAAATCTGATAAATAAATAGTTACTACGACGTACTTTAGATGAAGCAGCTTTCAATTGTTTAGAATCTTCTGTTCTTTTAGTGGATACGTTCGAAAGAAAAATGAGATAATTACTTTATTCTTCAAATACAGTTTCTCTCGATAGTAAGTGTTTTGCTTTTACTGTTCTCTAGTTAGAAAAACAATAAGTTTGAACGACGATGCTTGACTAATTCGGTTGCAAGATGCGATGGGGACTCTGCGTCTATTACGGGGTGGCAAAGAAACATCAACTATCGAGGCACTAGTGCATATACTGTTATCGTTTATGAAAGTCCAGGGCGTATTCGTGCTCTGATGTTTCGCAGTGCGATTTGGAGCTATGGATTTTTCCTCCCGAGCATATACCTGGGGGCTAGCGACACAACGAGCGTTCCACGCGAAATCGTCTCGCAGAAAGGGTGGAGATTCGGTCGGTTGAGCAACCGAGCCGAAGTTTAGGAACGCGCGTTGCGCACACGTCGGTGCGGAACCGAGCATTAACGAGCGGCAGTCTCGAGAGCGATTTCGAGTTCTGAAGGGTCGAGAAAGGAGGCCAGGCCAAAGGGGAGAGAAGAGTTTCCCTATTCCTTCGCGATTATCACACACTTCGGTGGGCCTAATCCGCGCAGTCGTCCCTGTGTTTCCACCGTTCTGCTCTTCGCCCCCAACGTGACATCTTCGTTCCGTCGACTACGTGTCTCGCCCGCTTTGCTCCCAGCGTAACTGGAAACGTGTTTGTCCGTGTTCACAAACACACAGAGCCGCGGAGAAACCGCGGAAACTCGGGCGATAGATAAATCAAAATCGCCTGGCATTGTGCGGCGTCCGATCGACGGCTCAGACGGCTTTGGCCGACTCTTTGATTCCGCTTTGCGAATGAAAGAGGTCGGAGAAAAATGGCGGACGGTAGATAAAGAACCGAGAGTGATCGTGACGCGACCGTTCCGAGCTACGGGCAGCTTTATCTTTTATTTATTCCAGGGGATATTATTCGTCTTGATTCGCGGCGATGCTGAAAAATTCCTTGCTTTCGAAGAATCTTTTTTGGGATGCGCTTTATCGAGTGGTCGGATAAGACACTAACGAAGTTGCCTCGCCGAAACGTCAGAATTTCTTTTCTAAAAGTCACGACTCCTACTGCAAAAAGAAAATATTTTCTTTCAGTAGCTTGTTAGCGGTCAGATGATACTCTAGGCAGATTAATTGCAATGTCTTTTCTAAGGGGCACGGTTCATATCGACAGACTCGTACCGTGAAACAAGACTACAAGGCTCGATGCAGACGAGCGACTTCGAACTCGTTTTTATTTTCTTTTCCAGTAATGAAGATGAAGAGAGGTGCACAATCGTGCGTTAAAAGTAAAGCTGAAAGTACTCGGTGAATAGTCTCGAGATATATTCCGTTTAATTAGAGACGCTTCCGGTAAATAGAGGATGAATAAATTATTTGTTTTGAGATTTGCAGCTGGCTCTGGGTCTGGATTTATTCTCAGCGCGATAAACTTGTACATTACCGTTCGAAAGTTTGGTGCGAAACTGTTTTAAAGTATTAATGCTTCGTGTTAAAAATTTTAGAAAAAGCATGGAGGATTCGTTTTTTCTTGAGTAAACTGGAAGCATGACGATTTTTATGAAAATTGTTTAATTGTTTCGATTTAGATACTACTTAACAACTTTTCTGTTATTGAACTACAAATTTTATTAGAAAAGGTTACCTGAGAGAGATTGTCAAGAATTTATAAAACGTTCAAATTCAAATTAAGGTAGTTAATTATAATGGAAAGATTGTTGAAACCGCTAAACTTTTGAGCCATTCCATCTAATTAGCCATTTTCTAGTAAATATTGTAGGAAACTAGTGTGTTGGCTGGGATAGGTCGTTCACAAATAAAGTTGGAACGAGGACTCGTCAAACAAATAACAACAATTTATTAAAAACAGAATAACACAACAATAACAAAAACGCAAATCGCTACTCTCGCTATAACACACTCTCGCTTAACCAATATCGCCTATCAACTGCCGCACCGCCGAACATTCACGCACTTATAGCATTCACCCTCAGTCGCTCTATCTTTCTCACGCAATCATCCCTTTTCACTCACACCCAAAATCCTCGCATCCATGGTCCAGGTTCGCGCAGTCACGTACACGCCTTGCTAATCGTTTCATTCTCACGGTTCAGTCGCTCAGTTCCAAACACTGTTCCTCGCATTCTTTCAGCCACTCGACATTTTCTAAACGCAGTCACCCTATTTCCTAAACATCCCGGCGCCGTCCAGACGCAAGACAACACCGACCGCACGCACGCAACAATGACCAATTCATACCTCACGAAAGTTTTCAAGACCCAGGTACTCAAATCCACAAATATACTGGTGCCATCCCGTCGCGGGATGACACCGACCGTTCGCACGCACCACAAATCGTTCACACCCTACAATATACTCTGAATAAATTATTCAAGTTAGTCCGCGAGTTTCCGCTGTCTGACATTTCCATGTATCTCCATTTTGAATCACAAGAATAGTGCAATTGATACTTTTAAACGTAATAAATACCCAATAAT